GATCTTCTTCATCTGGTGTAAATCGGCGTGGCTTCATGGCAGGTGCTTCATCGAGTCACAGGGGTGGGAAGCAGTGCTCTGTTGAGCTGGACAGCTGCCATGTGGAAATGAACCCTTGAGATGTTTATAAAACTGTCAGAAAAGTAGGCATGGTATGTGGTGTGCCAATTCTTTCAATAGTTTGCTGTATTTCCATCTGTCTGTGTAGTCTGTTACAAAGGCTGTTAAAAATTACATTTCTATTCCTGCTGTGCCCACCTGAATCCACAGGTTCTACATTAAAAAAAAAAGGAAATTTGAAAGAACATGGTTAGGAGTCAGTTTTCACATTTGAAGATACATTTCCATACAGTTGGGTTACAATGCTAATATTCTTGAGAGTTCAATGCCTTCCATTGTATAGGAAACACAAACATCTTAATGCCTGTTAAATGCTAGTGAGCTATTTGAAAATAATAACTCCAGTTTTTAAGCAGCAGTGTACCATAAGCAAGGGAAGATGATAAAGTCCAGTCAGGTTGTACTCAAGGGGTGACATACATAATCTGTCAAATCTGAGTGTCTGTGTTTCCATATAAATGTGATAGGTCTGCTTATTCTAGTGTTTGCTTATCCTTTGAATAGGCAATTCAGTGCCTGAGTTTTCTTTTTGATCAATATTTTTTTTGCTGTTCAAGGTAAAATGCAAGCTGAAATTTAACTGAAATTGGAGGAGACTGAGGTTTGACTGCAATGTCAGCATCCTATCAGGATGTGCTCTTGGGTAGGGCAAAAATTGACTGCACATAAGTTAAGGCCTAAACTACTGAAAAATTGCAGCCTGCACATCATTTGTAAGGAACAGTGAAATGCTTCTCTAAATTCCTCAGTTTGTGTCAGTGTCAAGCATGCTCATTTTGGACAGGACTTACATTGCAACACGTGGTCTTGATGTGGAGTTCAGGACCAGCAATTGGGTTATGACAAAATGCCACCACGTAAAACTTTCTATAGGCAGGTTAAGATAGGTTTTGCAATGAAAAATTATTAATATACTGCTGAAAATAGTAACTGCGCTAATGATTTAGCTGTCACATGGATTATTAAACTTTGCAGTTTCACAATAATGAATCAGGCTTTAAAGTAAAACCCTTAACTTAAAAGTAAAACCCTCAATCTAAATATATACTATTGTCTTGGCAGCTTTGAAACAGAAATTGAAAGGCTTTCTTAATGAAGTTTTTATTTAGAAACCAAAGCAAGAAATGGTTTTCAGTTTTTGCAGGATGATTACTGAAGGAGTAACATCAGGCCACATCAGACGTCAGCTCTGGCACTGCCCCATGCTTGAGCTCCACTGGGGAAGACTTGGGCAATATGGTTGTTTCCAAGGAACACAGTATCAAAAGTTGCCCTTGCCCGATAGTGATGAGAGGGGAAATTGACAAAGGCAGGTAGAGGTAACTGCAGAGAGAAACAAAACTAGGGGTTTTTTAATTTACAGGTGGTTTATAGCTCCTGTTTCTGTGACTGAACTTCCAAGTGATGTTGGTTGCCTGAGGCCAGGTTGCAAAGAACTCAGTTGAAAGTAAGCTGAAGGTTGCTAATGGCTTAAGGGTGAAAATACACAGTGAATTGCATAGAAAAACAGCCTATTATCAAGTGGCTTGTATGAGTGATAATTCATCAAGTACATGAAAAGGACAGAAATTTTGCCAGTAGTTGATACTGGAGGCAATAAGATGGCAAATTTGGAGGACAACAAAAGCTGAACCATTTGGGAATAATGTAATAATGGAATTTGAGAACAGGAATGGATGGAGAATTTTGAAGTATTGGAAGTAAGCTGAAATAAAATAGTGGGAAAATCTTATGTTCTGCCTGTCTGTGAGACAGGTCTAGACAGGTTTGACTAAATCTTCCACAGATTTTTTGCTGAAACATTCTGGACTTGAAGGACCACCACAAGACTCAAGTGGGTAAAAGAATGTTAAGGATCTATGAAAAAAAATATAGTAACTGATAAAACATGACAGAACAGTTAACTATCTGGAAAGATATTGGAAATTGTCTGTGTTATCTCTGAACTGTGAGTGCTGGTGAAGCCAAGCTTGAAATCTGAGGGAAGTGAGGAACCTGATCATTCGAATGACCATGGCCCTCAGCACTCCTCACATCAATGGCTGCTTGTGTAGGTGGTTGGATTTCCAGCAAAAGACACCACAGACTTCCATTTCAAGGGGAAATGGCTTCCATAGACATGGATGAATTAAAATAGAAAAACTGCATGTGGAGTAGGAGAAAGCTACTGGAGAAAGCCCATCAAGGAAAACTCCTGGCTTTCACTCATGGTCACCTGCATCTAAAGCAGAAAAGATTCTTTACATGCAGTCACTCTCAAGGGAAAGTTTGGAAAGAAGTTAGTATTTCCAAGCATCTGTTGAAAACTGAACATGAGGAAGAGAATTAGTCTAAGCACTGGATTTGGTCTTCTGCTTTTTCTGACCATTGGCTGAAGAACCTGAGCTGCTTCTGCAACCTGAGCATTTGCTCTGTGATTTTTGTCTTTCCTCACTTCCATATAGATGCATGGGACTGACTATTAATTGTAGCATATTGACATATGGAATGTGTTTGAACTGGATGTGGATAAATTCTATATATAAGAATAGATTATCTCATATCACAGTAAAAGTATTCTGCTGTTTTTGATTTTGGCTATATGTTACAGCTGTAGTCTGAGCCTGCAACCTTCTGTTGTCACTGCTTAGGTCTGTAAAGAAAACTCAGCAATGTATGGCACAATATATTTTCTGAAACTGAGTAAAATCCTAAAATTTCATAAATAGAAGACAAAAATACCTTTTTTCCTTTGGTACAGTTATGCACTTAGTCCATTAAAAGATTAATTAAAACCATCCTGATGAAAACTTGAGTTCAGTCTGGCATTGGAGAGTAGGAAATGAGGGAGGCTGTCCCTCTCCTCTCCGTGCTCTGTGTGTTTTCCACACTGAGGTTTGTAGAGGGTAAGGAGGGAGCTGCGGGTGCTGCCCAGTGCTTGTGCACATCAGCCCCTGCCATGCACAGGGAGCTGCTCCTGCCCTGCACAGGAGCCTCCTCTGTAGTGGATGAGGTGGGAATCCATGGGAATGAGGAAGGGAGGTGTGGTCATGCAAGGGAAGACCATGCAGCAGTGGAGGGGATGGAAATCAAGCCTTATGTAAACCCTTGTTTGATGTTACGTAATTTGTAGGGGCTGGATATTGGAACTTTGGTATTTTCGGGCTTTTTTTGTTATTTCAGTGCATTACTTATAAGTCAGTTTTAATGAAAATTGAAGGCAACTCAGCATTTCAGTGATTCTCAGGCACTCAAAAAAAGGCTAATTTTGAATCTAAGTAGTTTTTAAAAAAAATCATTAAATCAGAATTCAATTTGTGTTGTTTATATGTCTTCTTCTAATTCTGTGTGATCACATGCTGACTGTTTTGTCTTCCAGGCAGATTTTCTTGGTAATGTGTCATCTGTTTGTGTGTGAAGAAGTGTAAAGTGTCCAATTCTTCTACTGTTTACGTTCATAGAATAATAACTCTTGTTTTCATCTTGAAGCAACTGCTAAAAGCCCCTCAGTGGAAGCACTAGAAACAATTAAATCAACAGTCCTAAATAGTTATGCATTAATGATGTGATACACTTTACAGAATACAGCTGTAGTATTAATTACTGGGGCAAGTATCTTTCCTGTGAACTTAAAATTGCTTGCACCATTTTTGTAACTGCCAAAGTTTGAAATCTACAAACAGATCTGTGGAGAGAGGAATATATTTTACTACATAAATATATACACAAATACATTAATTAATTTTTTGGATGATGAAAAGGAGGAATAAGTTGGAAGAGTTGACATAGGAATTTCTGTTTATTGATGCTGTTTCTGTCTGAGGACAGTACAGCTTGGATATCTCCAATGTGAAGAGCAGCAATAATTTACAAATATTTTAAAATCCAGTTTGCCAGCTCTAGAAGGCACCTGTATTTCTCCGAGCAATGAGGTGTGGAAGTACCTCTGCTCAAGGCAGGAGAAGCTGCCACTTTGTTGGCTGTATTTTGTTTGGTTGTTTGGGCTGGTTGGAGGGGTCACCTCATAGATGGGTCTGCCCCTGTGAAACTGTAGCTGGCCAGGGAAGTGTAACTGGCCAGGGAATGGATTTCACAAAAAAAATCTAGGTCCTGTGCTTTGTTTTGCTTGCTGGGAAGGTGGAGTGGCTTGGTCCTGATGAGTTTTCAGGGTCTTCCCTGCACCCCTGCAATAATTTGCTTTATAAACATCAGCACATTGTATTCCAGAGTGGTGGTGTATTTGCATGGGAAGTCTTTGCCTGTGGGAAGTGGCAGACCAGATCTGGGAAGCGCTGGCAAAGAGACAACCTGGAGTTGATCCTGGGTGTGTGTCCCTGCTCTGTGATGGCTCCTCACAGAGATCCTGCTGCTATCACTTGCTCCCCTTTGCCTTCTGGCAGATGAGTTGGATCATAGCAAATTATTTTACTGCTCCTGGAAAACCCCTTATTTACAAATACAGCTTTTAAAGTATCCAGTATGTGGCTGTAGGAAGCACTTTAATTTTTTTGTTATGTTTAATCTGGAAAAATTCTGACTTTTTTCCCTGCAATTTTAGGAGAAAGGCAGCTAGGATTTCTTTTGCATAGCTATGCAGCACAGATGTGTGTGCATTAAAGACATGTTGTTTATAATCTGGTTTCTGACATTCTAGTACAAATACCTTTTTGATTTAACATAAAGAGATTGATAGCTTTATCAAATGGACAAAAATTGTTTATTTTCCTGGCTAGTCTTCAACATCTTGAGAAATTAATGGCCGTTTCAGAATTTATGAAGGACAAAGAAATGGTATTCACTAATTCAAATAATTATTTAGAAGCAAATGCCTGTGGGTAGTGGGTTGTTTCCCATTTTAGGCAAATTAAAGGAAAATTTAATAATTGCTTTCAATTTTTCAGGCAGCCAACATCAAGCGTGAAATGACCTTCCATGCATTTCAACAGGAGGATGTTAAAAATGACATCAGTCGAAAACTGCCAGAACAACAGTTTCTCCTGTTTACCACAAAGGAGGAAGATTTAAAAACAGCAGAGACCAAAAAACTTAACAGAGCTCATGAGTGTGAAAAGGAAAACACACGTTCTGTTTGTCTTCTGGAGCAGAAGCGCAAGGTTGTTTCTTCAAATATTGATGTGCCTCCAGCAAGGTGAGTTTGATTTTTTTTTTGTGTTTTGTTTTAAGCTTTATTCCTTTTTCTTCTCTGTCATTTTTTTAATGGGACATTAGATCCAAATTTGTAAACAGAACTAAGAGTAGTGTTTGTGCCCAGGCAGTCTGAAGTCAATCACAACTTTCCTATTTGAGAGAACTGCTGGGAAATTAAAAACACCTGTAGCAGAAAATGAGAGCATCTGTAGAGTAGGACTTGCTATTGCTTTTGCATTGTTTTTGCTTTTAGAGTGTGCTGTAGCTGAGGTACTTGGAGGAGAGGATGTGTCTTAAGAGGAAGAGATTGTTGACTCAGCTTCACCCTGAGAAGTAATCTTCTAAATTAGACACAGAATCATCTTACCTGCTAGCAATTAATTTTTCAAATTTTTTACTTGTCATACTTGGAGACACTTTCTACTCATTGGGTATTCTGTGTTGCAAGATGACAAGTGCTTTTTCTTTTTCTTGTTCATGTTAGCATCACTGTGTCTGTAAAGATTTCTGCTTAATCTGCCTGGTAAATTTACTTGCACGTAATTCAGTAAAAGGCCTTTCAAGTTTATGATGCTACTTTAAAAATTTGTAGTCAAAACAAATGTTTAGTTTTTCAGTTTGTTTGCTTTCTGAAAACCAACATAACCAGCAGGTTCTATCACATCATCCAGAACAGGATCACTTGATGTTTTTCTCTGGCTGTCAAAGATGTCCATGCACTGAGTCCATGAGCATTTTTACAGGATTTTCCCCCCATATATATGTAGTAAAAAGCTATGTATTACAACCTTGAAAATGTTAGGGTACTTATTTGAGATTTTCAATAGTAATCAACTTTGTGATGTCTGAGTGCCCTTCTCATTCATCCTGTGTGTCTCAAAGCAAATAGGATCACAAGAACATGTAGGTCAGGAGGGACCTCAGGAAGTAACCTAGGCTAACCTTCTGCTCAAACCATATGTTAGCATTTCTATTTAACAACTCAGGCTGCTAAGGTACAGGGTTTAAGTGCATTTTTGTGTGACTTCATGTAGATAATCTACTTGAAGTAGTAGTCAAGCCCTCATTTTCTGTAGCTACAAGATCATCCTTCCTTGGAGGGATGGATATATTTTCCCCAATGAGCTGGAAAAGAGGATGAATAAACATCTTTAATGCCTTCTTAAGGCTAATTGTGACACCAGTTGTGAGCACAGGATACTTAAGATGATAGGAAGTAAGTTCACTTACAAAGGTGTCTTCTAAAGTTGTTTTTTCCATCTGCATGTATTTTGTTGGGGGCATAAAAATTACTGTGTTATGTTGTGTCTTTTCAGACATGCAGGTTGAGCTCCAGCATTAGCAAAATTAATGAAGTAGGAAAGAAACCTGGAATTTATGCTGAATTGCATAATAAACATTTTGGTCATTCTTGCTACATATTTCCAGTCAAGCTCAAGTTTTGCTTTGAAGCTGAGGTGTTATTGGGCCATTTGTCCACAACTGATGGGAAAAACACTTAAACCTTTGTTTGGAGATCTTCCTAAATATTTGCTGTTGTAATGAAGGGGAGCACCCAGTCCCTCTTCCTTGGCAGCACAGTTTGATCTCTAAGTCACGTTCTCCAAGAAGCCTCCATCCATTTCTTGCCTCTTTCTAGGTCCCTTCCAGTCTTCTGTCTAGGACTGTGCTGAGAGAGTTGTGTGTTCCCCAGAGGTGAATTCCTTGTTCCTTTGCCTGCTGCAGGACTCATTGAGTAGACTGTTCTCTCTTCTGATGATACAATCCACCTGCCTTTGCAGATTTGTTATACCCAGTTCTGTAAGATCATCTTGAATTAATTAGATAATGTTTACAATTATGTGGGACAAATAAGGATTTTAATAGGGCCTTAATTTCTTATTGCTACATATATCCTTTTTACAAAACAAACCCCAAATTTTTTATTTTGTAAAGAGGGTGTATGTAGTAATAAGTGAAAGTGAAACTTGTTTTAAAACCCTATTTTGTTTTAAAACTTTAGTTTGTTTAAAACCTTATTTTGTTTTAAAACCTTAGTGGAACTGAGTGGAACCCATTTCACTTCAGATGCCAAAGTGAAAGATAACGTAACATTTTGCAGTATCCAACTAAACCCATGACAATATTTAAGTGATATTGAGACAGAAGTTTATCAAAGCTTTGGATTCATTATTAGCAGGGGCATATGAGTATGTCCAAAAGAGCTCTGAAAAAGTGTTTGCAAAAGAGCTGCTAAAGAGGTGGATAAATTTATTTCACTTTTCCCACAAAATGAAACAAAGGCCATCTTTTCTTAGCTGTTTTAAGGATCTCAATGAATAAGAATGGAAATCTTTGTGACACACTGTATCTAAAATAACTAACAGCTCAGCAAAACACCAGCATAATGTTTCTTGGAGGCATTCAGCTTCAGAGCTTTCATTATTGCTTATGGACTCTGACATTTTAGAAATGTTAAAATATCTTTGTGTGCCAGGTAGTCAGGTCCATGGAAATTATAGTAAAATAAATATTTCATTGGATGCAGAATTTTTAAGTTGGTTGTTTGCATTTTTATTTCATCTTGTGGAGATACTACAGATGTTTATCTCTGTGTTATGTCCTGTACTGGAAGTGTATTTTGGATTAAGACAGGAGGAGATCATGACTTTTTCATAATGATTTTTATTTTTGGAGTGCAAGAAATGAAATGACAGTTAACAGCATTAATTCTTCCCTTTTCAGATTTCTTCAGTTGGTCATTTTAAACAAAATTTATCTGATCTAAATCATGTTCCTTCTTCTGAAATGCAGATAAGCATAAATGGAACTGTTCAGCTTGAGCAAATGAATTATTTGATATAATGAGGAAACTTGAATTTTTTATTTTTCCTTTAAATATTGAATTTATTGTCAGTTTTGATGCATAAAGAACTGCAGTCTTGGAAAAAGTGGTCTGGCTTTGAACTGCAGTTATCTCTGAGAATTGAGATGTTATCTGTAGAAGAGAGAAAAATACGCTTTTGGTTGATCTCCAGTTCAAGCAGCAGCAATCAAACACAGCCAGATCCATGGATCTGAGCAGTGAAAGGCCATTTTGTAAAAAGAGAGCGGTATCATTGTGGGACTAATCACCTTGTCTGGTGGGCAGAAGCAGGCCCAGGTTTGCCAGTATTTCAGACAGCTACCTCTGTAGAGGTCAGGTGTAATCAGAGAGGATGTTCCCAGCAGGCAGAGGTGTGGAAGTTAACAGGACCTTCTTGCTCATTTATGTTTTCTTCAGTAACTTACCATCATGGACACATAGTTCCAAATCACGTCAAAAAGAAAAACATGAAAGAGCCTGGACTGCTGATACAGTGGGTGTGAGGATGTGAGGTGGGACCCAGTGCAGGGAATGGCTTCTTCCTCCTGGAAGAAGGAGGATAGAAGGGTGGGTGGTGCAGAGCAAGGGATGAAGTTTCCTTTTTTTGAGTAAAATGTGAGAATAAATGTTGGAAAAATGGTGGTGGTGTTAAAGGCCTCTTGAGACTGAAGTGTTTTGACCAGTGGTAGCTAGAAGCCCTTCAGAACTGAAATGCAGTAGTGTCAGAGGGGGTCCTTTCAGGTGTTCCCAAAGGCAGTAGGCATGCATCACTTCTACCCCTCTGATGGGTAGATGCATTTGAATAAATCAACAGGTTTTCTTTTATTAGTCTTCTACTGGATGACCTCAAAATATTGTGAAATTTGTATTGTCTTCTTGATACATCATCCTCATTTTCCCCAGCCCTCCTGTACTCTGTTTTCTCTGAAGAAAAGAACAAGATAAATTTTCTAACTGCCTACATAGTTTGTGCTGCTAAAGGACAAGCCACAGCTAAACATCTGTTGCTTAAACACTTCCTTAGAGTTAAAATAGTTATTGTGCAATAAACCCTCGCTGCTGTGCTCTTCATTTTCACTGCTGTTAAGCAGTGACATTTGCCATGACAATGATATATTGCATTTTACTGTCTTTAGAAGCTTTTATATTAAAAAAGCTGCTCTATTACTGTGAAATTAATTTTTATTCCTGTACCTATATTTTATCTATTAATTAGTTTCTAATTTAATGGAAAAACATATTAAATAAATGAAATAAAGTAAATTAAATACCTCTAAGAATTCTCTCCAACATTGTCTCTTTAGGTCTTTGTAGAATAGCTACAGAAAGCTGGGGCAAAATGAATTTCAGTCATGTTTCCTGACCATCATTATAAAGAAATAGTACAGATGGTGATGTATTTTCATCCCTAAATTATTTTCTTGCCTGGTCTCTCCAGGAACATAGCTCTGGGCAGCCTTCTGATTAGAGTGTGTTGTTGATCTGTAAGGCCTGCTGGGCATGATTGATTATGCACCATGCATTCCAATGGAAACATTTGCATATTTTCATAGCCAAAACTCTCCAGGAGCTTGACTTCAAGATCAAAAGCAGTATCTGCTTAACTATGATAACCTCACTGGAAGGACTTCCCAATCTGCTTGTAGAGGAAAAAACCTGCTGATCAAGTTGTGCTTTTCTGTTTACCCAGAGGTGGTGTTTATTCAGAGATTGTCTTCCATTATTTTTCTCCATCTGTTTTAGACTAGTCCCCAGTTTTCTTGGGGAAGCTTCTTTCCTGTACCTCTCAATTTTTGCTGAGGGGATTGATGGGGCAGTTTCAGAGGGCATCCACTATTTGCTGGCTGCTGAGGATTTTCAGCTTAATTGAGTTAAAACAAAAGGCCAAGAAATTAGGCTTGCTTCAGAGTCACTGGCTGTAGCTCTGTGAGCTTCTGAGCCCTCTAAATTTCCCTGATAGACCAATAGCTTTTCATGGAGGTGTGACATTTTCTCCTATTTTTTCACAATCCTCTTTCTTAAGTTTCATTTTCTGTACTCATGTTACCTAGAAACTTTGATAACAGTTGTTTTTATAGAACAGAAACTAGTCCCAGTGTCATTCCTCTATTTCAGAGTTTCTGTAAAAAATCTGATAGTTGGTAATACCATGCATT